CAGTCATACAGACACACATACAAACACACACACACACACACACACACACACACACACACACACACACACACACACACACACACACAGAAACAGTCACAAACACAAAGACACACACACACACACAGACACACACACACACACAATCACACAAACACACAATCACACAAATAGTCATACAGACACACATACAAACACACATACAAACACACACACACACACACACACACACACACAATCACACAAACACTTTCACACAAACAGTCATACAGACACACATACAAACACACACACACACACACACACACACACACACACACACACACACACACACACACACACACACACACACACACACACACACACACAATCCCACAAACACATTCACACACAAACACAAAGTCATACAGACACACATACAAACACACACACACACATATATACGCACACACAGGCAGACATAGCCAGGTGTACACACACACACACACACATACACACACACAGATGGTCAGTATCTGGGTCAGCGCTGGTCTTCTGCATTCCTGCTGTATGACCACAGTCACAGTAAAGCCAAACAGTCAACATGTTTCAGACTCAAACAGACACTGTTTATCCTTACAATACAGCACACACTCTGATCAAGAACACACTGATGTACTTCACACTCTCTCTACAGAAGCAGGGGTTTGTACAGTAATTCATGAATGTTTTCAGTTTGTTTTGGCCAAAACAGGCTCATTGTTGATACGTACCCCTGTTTACATTTCTGGAGAGCGCCAAAACCGTCCCAGGAGCTACTATTTTTGCAGTTTTTTTTTCCACAAATCCATCAGAGGGCGCTGTGTATGCTTTTTTAGATCTTAAAATTCTCTGGCAAGTGCTATTCACGCCTGCAGTTCTCACATAAACCAACAGAGGCCGCTGTCGACAGGGCTGGAGCAAGCTCAACTGGCGCTGAGAATGCCGAGCTTAAAACTGAAAGTTATGCCGCCTTTAATGCAAAAAAGCGGGAGACGGAGCTGTGTGCTGAGATGATGCGGGGTTTGTTGCAGATGAAGCCGAAGAGCGGGGGCGCTGAGATGATGCGGGGTTTGTTTCCGATGAAAGCAAAGTGGGGGGAGCGGTTTTGGGGTGGGTGGGGGTGGGGTGCGCCTATGTCGCCTCTATGGACGCGCCAACCCTGGCTGTACCGACCGATCCACTCACCCACCCCCTTCACTAAACCCAATCGACAGTGTTTTCAAAAGTAACCCAGACAAAGAAAAACCCTCACAGCCATTTGATTTGTACCATATTTTCAGATCTTAACATGATCTCACCCTGTTATTTACTTGTTTATTGAATTTTTTACTTCTTGTTATTAATATGATATCATAAGAATCATTATTCGCCGCACTTAAACCTCGAGGTCGTGGTCAACCCCTCACTGCGTCTCAAGTCTGCCGACATACATGGTGAGCTAATGAGCAAACTGGTAACAGAGATAAGTGCTCTGTTGGTAAGCGAGAATGAAACAGGAGCCGTCGGCTGCATCAGACCGCCCTGTATCGTTCATTTTGAAGACATAATGCAATCATACACACGTCTGGCTACATAATTCACTCTCTTAAAAAATGTATACGAGGGTACGTTTTCACAATGTGCCTGATTTTGGCAATACTCTCTAAGAGTTATAAAGAAATATTATTTTCCCAGAGATGGGTTGCGGCTGGAAGAGCATCTGCTGCGTAAAAAACTTGCTGGATTAATTGGCGGTTCATTCCGCTGTGGCAACCCCGGATTAATAAAGGGACTAAGCCGACAAGAAAATGAATGAATGAAGAAATATTATTATATTCATATATTTTTGCATTACTTTTCCCCCCTAAAACCGTCTCTTTAGATGTTTATCTGATGTTTTATTAGTATATTTTATAAAAAAAAAAAAATTCCCATAATGTTTACTGAATGATCATGTTCCATTAATACTCACATTTGTCCTAATAAAAATATATTTTTTATATAAAAGATAAAAAACACACATTTCCAGACATATAAAACAATATAAAACACTGTTATAAAAAATAATGAGCACATATCTGCATTAGCAGGGCGACGATTTGTAAAACTGTAAATATGTAAACATTAGTGAACATGTTCAGTGCGCATCTTAGTATTGCTTTAACATATATCAAGTCTATATGTGTCTATAAATGTCTCATGTACATATAAACATTCAAATTAAGTGACTGATTATGACGGATGAGCAAAATAAATAGGTCACCCCACATCAAAAATGCCCGGCGTGTTTTATCATGTGCATTCGGTTGAGTTTGTTGTTTCAGTCACACAGACAGACTCTCACAGATGTAGATTTATTTGACATCAGTTATTGACATCTGCTAAATGCTCCTCGTCGATGTTGCAACTGACGTTCCTGCAAACAGATAAACATCAGTCACTTCAGAGCAGGTTACAGGGATCAGATTTCATCTTCACACAACCATAAAAGAGCCTCTGAGAAAAAAAAAAAGACGGTTCAAGGAAAGTGTCTGGTGATGGGTTGTGAGAGTGCATGATTATATGCTGTCGTGGCTTCGCAGTCAACAAATGTGATTATGATCGAAGCCAATGGGGCTAAAACAGCCCCCAACATCACCAAAGGGAGTATTGTTGAGTTTTTGAAAAAAATTCCAAAGCATTTACCCTAATTATGTGTCTAAATCAGATTTGTCACCATTAATCACTCTATTTGCTACACACAGAGAAAACTGTGGCCAAATTAAGCCTCAAAATCAACCCAGAGTGGATGAAAATGACCCAGCAGCACACAAGGGTTAGGGTGGTACAGGAATAAAGCACTCACTCTTCATGCAATGCCTCTTTCTGCAGATAATTCCCAGAAAAATTGCAACGGCGATCAAGATGATGAGAAGCACACAGGCTGAAGACATCACTGCGGTGCTCTGGACGTCCCCAGGGCCTTTAATAGGACTTGGATCTGTAGAAACAACAAAAGGTTTTATTTTTAATATTATCATAATCCAATAATCAAAGTAGGTCAAAATCTTTCATTTTAAATTCATACATATATATTAGATCTTAGTATCAGTATGTTAGTTTTAAAGATATTAAGAAGTTCTTCCCTTCCACCTAAATGAATCAATGATTTTTTTTTGTTGTTTTTTTGTTTTTCAAATGTTCAACAAGTATACAAGGATGTTTAGGACAAGATGAAAATAAAAACAAAAAATATGAATTCTTCAGTTTGAGACGAAGGAGAAAAATACAAAACATAAGGAATACAGTGCTCAGCAGGGAATACAGTGGTTTGAAAAGGAAGCTATACAATATTATATTTGTGCACAAACATTAGGTTAGTCAGTACTGAAGCCAAATCTAAAAACTAGGACACCCAAATTTATGTGTTATAGAAAAATATTAAATACTCATTTTAAAAAGAGGAAAAATCAAGAAAAGCAAAAAACTGAGGAAATGTTGTTGAAATTTTATAGGTTGGAATTGTTTGTGCAATATTTAGCTTCAACTTCATTGTATTATCTTTCAATTTCTGAATCTGTTCAATGACTAAAATATTATTTTACTAAATATATCTGTTTCATAAATCTGTTTTGTTTACATGCACTAAAACACATTGCCTATATTCACTGAGAAATGGAGGAAAATATTCATTTTCAAAAAGAGCTGTACTCAATTATGCTGCTGTACATCTGAAACACAAAAATAGAAATGTGAATTCTGAAACAAAAATTACAGGCTCCCATTCCATATACCTCAATGATCACAATTTTAATGGCTCAATGGCCATCCTTTCAGCTTTTTCAAGAAACCAAAGTGTCCTGTAATGTTGTTTTTTCCATCAGATCAGTTCAAACTTTTCTGAAGGTTGTTTGCTGTATGCATTTGCAGTTTCTAATCATGTTCAGAAAAATGTATGTGCTTATCTATATATTGCTATCGGTTTTTAAACTTAGTAGTTATCTTATAGGTCAAAAATTCCATATCAGTGCATCCCTAAACTTTTGGTAACATTGCTTCTGAAATTTTTTAAAAATGTTTGTTTCAGCAATCATGCTCAAAAAAATTTATATTTATGTTAATCGCTCTATATATTGATATCGGTTTCCGAATCTAAGGAGTTATCGGTTATCAGTATCAGTCAATAATTCTATCTCAGTACATCGCTAAAGTTTTGCTAACATTGCTTTTGAAATAAAATCAATTGTTTGCCTTTTGTTTTGGTTCTTTAATCATGCAGAGAAAATTTAGAAAAGAATTTTATTTATATTTCTCTGCCTATATATTGTGTTCGGTTTTCATATCTATCGGTTACAATTGCATCCCTGAACGTTTTGCTACACTGTAAAAAATCCAACTTGACAAATGTTGAAATTGCTTGATTTGTTTTGTTGGTTCAGCAAAAATCTGTAAAAAAGTCTGTACAACTACATTTAACACATTCAATCAACTTAAACAAAGATTTTATTCATTAAGTTAAAAAGATGAGTTTTGTGAGCAACACTTTGCTAGTTCATCCAAAAAAGCATCTGCCAACTTGTTTTTTTGTGTTAAGTCAATCTCTAACTTTTTTAATGCAATGAATATACAAGTACAATAACCTTTTGTTGATTGAAAAGGTTTCAAACATGTTAAATATTCTAAAAAAATTATCAATGGCATTATAGAACCTTTTCCCAGAGATGGGTTGGGGCTGGAAGAGCATCCGCTGCGTAAAAACCTGCTGGATAAGTTGCCGGTTCATTCCGCTGTGGCGACCCCAGATTAATAAAGAGACTAAGCCAACAAGAAAATGAATAAATGAGTATAGAACCTTTCATAGTTTGTATTAAAAAGTAAATGCTGAGTGAAAATGCTATTATTATTATTATTATTATTATTATTATTAATACAATAATAAATATTGTTATTCTTCACATTGTTATTAAAAAAAACAAAAAACACTACAATACTTATAGTAACTTTATTTGAAACTTTTAATTTGCAATTTAACTTTATTTGGTGCACATTTGCAGAAATAAGCTTGCATGCACATTATCATCTCGTGTTTATTCATTACCCTTTACAAAAAGATAGGCATACTTTGATATTCCAATATTTAAAAATAAACCATGCACTCAAAAATATGTTTCTCAAAGGACGATATAGCATCATTCTGTCCTGAGCTAAACCACGCCCTCGTTACGATGGTTGCGCTTACGTAACGTCAACGTCTCAGGCGGGAGAAACTGGAAGCATTGTACTTCGGTGGGGAAAGAGGCAAGCCGTGGAAGAGCAATCTTAATAGTAAGTGTGCAAAGATTGTAGTTCTTTGTTTAAGACACTTCATCTAAATTTGTCCTCCTAAATGTTCATCATATACGGCTTGTGTAACTGATGACAACCGATTAAATTCTTATTTTATCTAGTAATTTGTTAGCTCCAAGTTTAATGATAATTTGAGAAATTATATATGGTACGACAGCAATAAAATAATAAAAACATTTAGTGTGGATGTTCCCAATGTTTAGATGCAAACAAAACAATATTATTTATAAATGGATTATATATATCATCCAGGGAAAACAGTGTAAAATGCGCTTATTTTCGAGATAGAACGCTTCCATGCAGAAGTTGGGTTTCATAAGAAACGCATGCGTGAGTCAACTCCTCATCCAAACTCCAATCCAGACGGTGGCGGTAATGTTCTAAAAGCTGGTTTCCAACCGCTATGAAGATCACAAGAAGAAAAAGAAGTTTGGCGTTTCAAAACAGTGGATTCCGGTCAGAAAGGTAAGGTTTTTACTGCTTGTATACTGTATACTTTGCGAATTTAATGCTTAAAACATTTTCACAGTGTTAGGTTATTGTTAGGTTATTGTTTAACTTGTTTATGCAGTGCATCAGTGATCGTTTACTGTTCTCTTTAAATTATCATTCTATTATTAAGAGAAATATATTAGTATGTGCTTTGATTTATATGTGTTAGCCTATGTGAATCAATTATATCTTATTTTCAAGCTGTAATTTGCGCATGTAAAACTGAATTTCTTAAAGCAGATTTTGAAGGGTTTTATATTTTTGGTTATTGACAGTTATAATTTCTGATTTAAATGAATGGGTATAAATGAATATTTTTTTCAGTTAAGTCTTACTGTTCTTGTTTAACAAAGGTTAGTGAGGTCATTTTGTAGCACATCACAGAGACCAATAGCACATTCTTATGAACATGTGAATAGGCATGTTATAGTTGGGTGATTAAAGTCCATTATAAGCTGTAAACTGCTAATACATTTTCAACATAGATTGAGCTTTTCTGACTTTACATTACTAATTGCTTCACAAACAGCTGAAATGGTTTATTGTTATTGGCTATCATCATCATCAAACATTTTACACAATGGTAGGTTAATCTTCATGGGTACAGAATAATGCATGTGCTTGACCATCTTACAAATCTATGTCTAAGATTCATAAGGCTGTCACTCTGCATGAATCTTTGAATAAATCCTGTGTAACCTTTAGTGAGCTGATTATTTACACTATAGGTATTATAGCCATTAACTTTGATAGTATTTCAGGATTTTAACTTTTTTGGGGGAGGTTAATAACAATGTGATGTTTCATTATAGACACACATGAGGAAGCTCGACTCAGCTTGGCTTGCAGACAGATGAGGACGGTGATTGCCTGTCATACATCTAAAGAAAGAACAGGTTTGTTTGCAACTATTTTAAACGCATACTGTCAACATTATGTCATTGATCTATTACACTGCCATTGTCATTGATCTAGTGCCCTGCACTATACTAAAATAATGTTTTGTTTTGTAAATGTATCTGATCAAGGGGCATTAAAGACACAACTATAGTGAACGTGATGAAGAAAAATTTTTTGGAACAAAGAGGCTGGAGAAAAAACTGATATGAAGATTTAAGAAATTGATGCAGCACCGCAAGTACCGTCACCACCAATGACTATGGCAGGATCCTTAAGAACACCATCAAGATGCACAGATGCTGTACATTCCAGTACACCTATGAACATTTACAGTCCTTGTTCAAGTGCAGTTGGAGATCAAGACAACTTATTGCAACTCGTCATGTCTTTGTAAGAATTCAAGACATCACTAAATTTGTAATGGCTTAATGCAGCTAGAAAGTAAAGATCAACTAGAGAATATCAGCAGTATCTAACCCACTGTTGTATTTACACAAGTTGCATGAGAATAAGCAACAGGTTGATTTATACTAATTTGTTATTTTTCTTTTTTAGCACGACTGAAAAAAAGTTTTAAAATCATGCAACGTCATAAAACAGCAACTGTGCCTGATTCTCACAAATCAGCAAAACCAAAACAGACGTGATGAAATTCCAGATGTAAACACATTTGACCTTTCTTTGTCCAATTTGATTTGGAAAAACTTGAAAATCAACTAAACGAGCAGCCCAAACAAATGAAGAAACTGGTAAGTTTCTTGCTTATTTCTAAGTGTTTTATGTTTATTTATTTATGTGTTTTTTGCTTCGTAGGTAGCCTACTTTGGAATCATTGGTGTTTTCCACTAAGCAGTTTGGTGTGTCCCGGGAAAGCTTTTGGCTCACTTTTTGGCTGAACAAATTAACTGGAGCAGAGCAAACCAAAATGTGGCCTTTCATGCACTCTCCCTTAGGACTGTCTAGTCAGTAAGTTGGTTTTAAATATACATTTCAGTACAATTAGGGGCTGTTCCATCTGTGTATTTCTTTGAATCATTAATCAGAGGAACAAAACATCTATATATAGTCCCATTTAGGTTGTACTTATATGAGAGCAAGCCTCTTTCTTTTTTTATTTGTACTTTTTCACTACTAATTGTTTGTTTATCTATTAATCACAGATGTAGTGAGGAGAAATGTCCATACCACGCCACTGATAAAGAAGTGGAAAAATGCATTACAAGGTGGCTACAACGTGCTCCTGACAGGGCTGGAGGAAGGAGGGAAGAAGAGAAAGCTAATGTGTCAAATGTCTTCATCAATAATTTATTTTTTAAACAACATTTTAAGTGTATTAAGATGTTCCCGGATACTTGGGTAATTTGTTTCTTTTATTTGCAATTATATATATATATATATATATATATATATATATATAATGACAATATGCTAAATTCTGAAGAAGCATCTTAATACATTTTTAATTAACATAATATAATAAAAATATTAATAAAAAATTGCACAAGACAAAGATATACAAATCAAATTATATATATATATATATATATATATATATATATAAAATGACAATATGCTAAATTCTGAAGAAGCATCTTAATACATTTTTAATTAACATAATATAATAAAAATATTAATAAAAAATTGCACAAGACATAAAGATATACAAATCAAATTATATATATATAATCATCTCACTCATTTAAATGTATTATTATGTTTTATTACATTGATTACATTTATTAAAAATGTTTCTTAAGAATTCTGCAGTTCTTTTTACAATTTTGACTTGTATATTTTACACATTGTCATGGGTATTTGTAAGATGTTTCTTGCTATATCTTAAATTGGTTTCTATATTCAGGTTTATATAAAATTAAGCTGTTTTAAGATGTGTCTTGTACAATTTTTTAATTCAAGTCTATTGGGAAAACAGGGTTGTTTTAAAAACTTCTGTGTATGTGTGCAATTTCAGATTTTGTCTTTAAGTCTTCCTGTGTGTCTTTATTGTGTAGTTTTATTATTATTTTTATATTGACGTTCTTGTGCACTACAAAATATGTTATTCAAGTTTAGTATTATTTGTTTATTGCAATCAATAAATGTTTATTATTATTATTTATTTTGTCCTTTGTTTGATAATTTTTGTTATTGGATATGTATGCTGTTTGCATTTTATTCAAAGGTTGAACGCAGTGCCTACACTTTGCCTTTACATTATAGCCTGCGTTTGCTGGTATATAAATGCAAATGGTTGTAATACCATGTATCAAGTACCAATATAATACCAAAAGGTTTTATATCAAGGTATATTGAGTTGCGCCAGCTCCGGGCTGCAGCGCACATTACTCGCGGGCCGATTCTGGCTCGGATGCGGCAGCGAATCTAGCTGGAACTGGCCCAAGTGTATTTTACTATCTAGGGTGGCTCTTAAAGTGACAGCGCGTATATTCCAACTGCTTATTATTATATTAAGCAAACAAAATCAAATCAAAACCAAAATAATAGTAATAAATCGTTCATTTTGAACTGAAGGTGTATACAGTGGAACACTTATTACTAAAGTAAGATCCTTTACTGGCAGTTTTAATATCATATTTATCCATGACCAGCCAAGGTACCAGCACAAAACATGTAATTATGCAAGTATAGATTTTGAAATGAATTACAACAAATACTAAGATTTATATCTCAAGGCAACTAGTAATTCAGATTGATTGCCCTAATTGCCCTGCTGAAAAAAAAAACAAAAAAAAACAGCATATGCTGGGAAGGTATGTTTTGATGCTGGTATGCTGGTCTTGCTTGTTTGAATGCTGGTTTTGCTGGTCTTAATGCTGGTTTTGCTGGTCTCAATGCTAGTTTTGCTGGTCTTAATGCTGGTTTTAATGTTGGTCTTGCTGGTCTCAATGCTGGTCAGGAGCAGCACTTAGACCAGCAAAACCAGCATTGAGACCAGCACTGAAACCAGCAAGACCAGCAAAACCAGCATTAAGACCAGCATCAAAACATACCTTACCAGCATACGCTGTTTTTTCAGCAGGGTGTTGTGAATAATTTATGGGATATTCTAAGGTTATTAAAATTGATAGTGTAAGGTAGTCTCAGAGATGTGCTGTAATTGTTATATATTTAATTTAATTGTGTTTCCTTTTCATGTGATTAATTTGACTTAGTGTTTGTGTTTTTTTTTTTTTTTTTTTTTACAGATACACTACCTCGTTTTTGTACTTTAGTGAAGTACTGCAAGAAAATGAATGTTTTGGTAAAATGTATGTCTTTTTTTGCCATGTGTGTTTACTCCGATAACATTTTATTTATTAGTACTAATTTCCAATTGTATTTTTTTGGTTCATTCAACTTCTGTAGTTTCAGACCATTCAGACAAGAAATTTTCAGTCAGCACAACTTAAAAAAACAGAGCCATGTGTGTTTGCTCGGATAACATATAATTTCTTAGTACTAATTTCCTTTTGTATTTTCTTGTTCTCTAAACTTCTGTCATTTTTGGCCATCCAGACAAGAAATGTTCAGTTAACACAACTTTTGCTCTGGTAACATATAATTTCTTAGTACTAATTTCCTTTTGTATTTTCTTGTTCTCTCAACTTCTGTCATTTCAGGCCATCCAGACAAGAAATGTTCAGTTAACACAACTTTTGCTCTGGTAACATATAATTTCTTAGTACTAATTTCCTTTTGTATTTTCTTGTTCACTCAACTTCTGTCATTTCAGTCCTGCAGACAAGAAATGTTCAGTTTGCACAACTTAAAAATATTTGTTGTGCTGCAGGTGCAGGTTTCCAGAAAACTACTAATGTTAAGTTGACTCAACTAGACATTTTTTGTTTCACTGACAAATTATTTTCAGTCAGTGTAGCTGATGTTTTCAAAAGTTGAGTAAACAAGAAAAAACAGAAGGAAATTAGTACTAAGATTTTTTTTGTTGAACTGGCTTAAAATTTTTTACAGTGTAAGATTCACTTTTGGTGAAAACATTTGCTTCTGAAAGTTTTCTGAACACTGATAATGTAACATTTTTATTTAACATGAAAACTTATATTTATATTTATTGGCCTATATATTGATATCGGTTTCCGAATCTAAGGAGTTATCGGTTATCGTATCGGTCAATAATTCCCTATCAGTACATCCCTAAAGTTTTGCTGACATTGCTTCTAAAATAAAAACAGTTGTTTGTGGTTTGTTATGGTTCAATAATCATGCATACAAAACTTTAAAAGAAAAAAACATATTTATATTTATCTGCCTATGTTTTGATATCGGTTTCCATGCCAATGGAGTTCATGGTATCGGTCAAAAATTCTTTATTTACATTAGGTAAAAACATTGCTTCTAAAAGTTCTCTAAACGTTGAAAATGTATTTTTTTAAATGTTACACTGTGAGAAAGTCATTTTTAATGCAACAAGTGATAATAGTTGAGCTAACCGTCCCTGTCCGCAGGGCTTTTATAGGAACACTGAAATGGTGATTAAAATATTTCAGGTCTGTGTTCTGGTCTTTCAGGCAACCGTGCAGAAAATCACAAACCTTTGTTTTGGCTTCAACCCTGCAATCTGACATACTCAACCCTGGTTGTGGTAAAGATAACACTTGTGCCAAGGTTAAAGGCAAAACTTCCAGAGAACTGACTGATAAACCGATCAAATAAACAACCTGGCACCAAATGTGAAAGTAGAAGAGAAAAATGTATTTATTATCTTTATTCAGAGAAGAGATGAGAGAGTTTTACCATATAATTATCATCCCTGAACCAGCATCAGTGCCATATTTGATTGATGTAAAATCTGCAGTTATGATTATTAAGTTTAGCTTCATATCACATGCAGCTTCATATACCATCCGATGTTTATAATTAGTTTAACATACGCTTGAATTGATTAATTTATTACATATTATGATTTATTAAAAAAACTACATTTAATGTAGATTAACTATATTTTAAAACATTAAATAAATATTATGGGTGAACGTGCAAAGGAGAAAATGGTGAAATAAACTGATGAGTTGATGAAACATCAACAAATATTAATAAAAATTATCAAAGATATTATCATTTTTATTTTAGTATTTATATTGTTATTTATTTTTCATTTACAAATATGTGCAATATTTTAACAAAAAATACTAGGTTAGGTTTTGAAATTATAATTCTTAATGTCATTTTTATTCCTTAATGTAAAAATAAATAAATATATAAAAGTTTAAATATATCTATATAGTCTATATATGTATATATTCACTTTGTTTTGTTTTATTTTTTAGTGTTTTAATGTATTTTAAGTTCAATGAAAAGAATATCTTAATTAATGCTTTGGCAACTAAATAAAACTCACATATTTATGTTGTGTTAGTTAACATTAATTTTTATTAATATAAATATAGTTGTTTTATTGCAGTAATGATGATTGTGACCCAACACACACACACTGACCTGTGACCTCCAGATAGATGTTATTATGCTTTAAAGGGGATTTCATGTAGTAACACTTGTACCATCCCTCATCTGACTGACGAACGCTGTAAAACATTAGAAAACAAGCGTCTCCGCTGCGCTTCAGCTCCGTTCGGTTTTGGAAATCTGCTGCAATATCCTCGTTGTTGTTTGATTTGTCGTAATTAACCACGAGCTGCGTTCCATTCACGTCCTTCTGCCAGACCAGCAACGGATCCTGATCAGCAGGACACGTGCAGGGTAACTCAGCCGCTTCACCTGCTCTGGCTTTTACATTTACCGCAGTAAAATCTGTGGAGGAAGATTATAAACAAATGATTAATATTTCTGTTTATTAACGTGGACAATGCAGTAACATTACTACAGATGCAGGCAAAGTCAGAATTATAAGCCCTCCTGTTGAAGTTTTCCTCAACTTCTGTTTAACTGAGACTTTTTCAACACATTTCTATGCATAATAGTGTTAAAATATCAGACTAGATATACTTCAAGACACTAGTGTTCAGCTTAAAGTGACATGTAAAGGCTTCACTAGGGTAATTAGGGTAAAGTTAGGGTAATTAGGCAAGTGATTGTATAACAGTGGTTTGTTCTAGAGACAATCCAACACTAATATTGCTGAAGGGGCGAATAATATTGAGCTTAAAATGGCTTTAAAACAATTAAGAACGGCTTTTATTCTAGCAGAAATAAATTGAATAAGACTTTTTCCAGAAGGAAAAATATTATAGGAAATACTGTGAAAAATTCCTGAATCTCTTCAAGATCATTTGGGAAATATTTAAATAAGGAGGAGGGCGAATGATTTTGTCCTGAACTGTATAGGCTTGTACTCTACGGCTAATTCACAGCTTCAGTCCCTGGTTA